AAACACAGCAGTTTCTTTTGGTTTTCTGCAAGGTGCAAATAAGTGGCCAGGTATTCTGTAATCTAGGCAAATATTCTTCATCACAATAATCAAAACTCTATTGTGAATCAGTATTAAGCACATTCTCAGAGACCCAGTGGCATTCTATTAGTTTGAGTGGATTTAAAAGTACAGAGAAAATTGGCACATTGAATATTTACAGAATTGGGTTGAAGAGGCAGTTGGTGCTTTCTCCTATCAATGTAGGTGTAAATGGTGAACAGCATCATCTGAGTTACCTTCATGTTTCTTACATGAAAATTCTTGTCTTGCCTTACAGTACATGTTTGGATAATTTTACCCATGTTATTATTTGTAAAGTGAACTAGACCTTCACACAGTTGTGTGGATTAGCATAAAAAGGAAATTTTAAACAGGATTGGAACCCATGTTCCCTCGCTTGAATCAATCAAAAGCAAGTTTGATAACATGTGTGAGTTCTTTATCTAATTTGAGAGCTTCCTGGCAAGTCATCTACTTGGTTCTTTGATAGTCATAATATTCTGTCTTTTATATCTGACACTCCCCATTCATTAAGAATCCACATCCTGTTTGAAAACAATCATTTGCTTGAAAAATTGATCAGTTTGTGGATATAGCACTGAGTAAAATTCCCATGTTTGTGTTTGCTTTGCAGCCTCCTCCAAGTTTATTACAGCAACAGGAGTTGATGAATGAAGCAATAGAAAAAGCTAAAAGGGCAGCTGAACTACAAGCAAGGATTCAAGCTCAGCTGGCAAATAAACCTAACCTGGTAGGAACAGTGCTACATTTGACTAATTATTACATTATGTTACAAAGCTGTCAATCAGTGCTAGGAGCCAGGAATTTCTTCTGATTTCTTTGAGCATGTCCCCTAGCTACTTTCATCAGCAACCAAAAGAAAATAGTGCTTTATGAAATTCCTAGCTGTTCAATTCCCCACCTGAAAATTTCTTTTTTCCGCAACTTGGAACCTTCACAAAAGACATAATAATACATGTGGCATTGAAATGACTGACAATCAAAATGAAATGAAATAGATGGCAATCCATGCAGGTTATGGGAGCAGTTTTTCGTGTGCTTGTTATTACACATTTTTTATGTTTCATTTTGTCCCCTCAGCTTTAGTCAAAGAGTAAACTTAATGCTACCATAAGGCTCCACAAACTTACTATTCTATTAATATGCATATCACTAATGGCAGCAAGTTTATATGTTAGTCTTTGTTTGTTGTGGGCAAAGTACATGTATACAGTGCATAAATGTAGTTTTTAAACCAGTTGTTTTACTACATGATGTCACCTACCATGTACATGTATTCCGGGTTTGGGATACTTTTAATAATTTTTTTTTTGCAAACCCTGTGGTTAATATTGTTTTGATTTTTTCAATGTACTTGTGTTAAATTTTGTTATAAACCTTCAGTTTTCCAGCACAGGACTCACAAGTGCAGGCACAAACCTGATTAAGTCAGGTTTAATTTGTGTGTCTGCCATTAAAGAAGATGACTCTCATCCAAAAGCCCTGATCTTGGACCAGTCTGGGCGAACAGTTGATGCTGCTGGGAGAGCCATTCAGCTGACCAGCCGCATGCCAACACTGAAGGCAAACATCCGTGCAAAGAAAGCCGAGAAGTTCAAGATTGAAAAGCCAACAGAAGATTTAAATGAAAGCAAATATTTTGATCCTAGAGTGGGGTAAGTGGAGCTTCCAGATTTACATTTGAATGTTTTTAGAAGGAAAATGTGACCAGTTAAACTGCTTATGTTGTGTATTTTCATGTATAGTACTTATTTTTGAGTCTGTGGTGTATTTTGGAAGAAGGAGATTTGTAACACCAGAAAGCTCATAAAAAATTTCAAGCTCCAGGTGACAATAATATTGAACTCATCACGACCCTGTGAGTTTTAGTTTGGATGCTCTTACCACTGAGCTACTGTAGCCTCTATGGCAAGCAGGGTCGAAATTTAATTATAACTACACCAACAATGTTGCAGGTCAAAATCAAATTCTGATAAATAAGTATTTTAACCTACATGTACTGTACATTGTAGGTTGATTCTCAAGCTCCTTTGTCTCCTAGCCCTAATTCATGAACTGTTGGGGTTAGGAAACAAAGAAAATTGAACAGATTCTTGCTATGTACACTTTTAGTTACCTATAATAAAACAATATTTTCACATGTAATTAAAAGTAATTCTAGAATTGAAATGCTCATTATAATGAGATCTTGAATTATGACTCAATGAGAGGAATTATGTGTGATAAGCCTGAGATGCACCCAAAAAACAAGTTAATTTGATGCTCCAAGTCAGGGGACAATAATTATTGACTCAATTTTATTAAGGCGTAAAAATCACAGCTACAGCAGTTTTGTTGTGAAAGCTCAGTGAAGGAATTTTCATTTGAAACAAATGGAACATGGTTGTTAAATATAGCTTTGCATACCTTTTTGGATATTTTTACTGTGTATCTTGATTTTGGGTAAGTGCATGCCAGGAAGTGGCGTTAGTAACTTCAGGTTCCTGCTCTATATTTCCAAAAGGTCTAGGCATCTTTGGTTAAGGATTTTTTCTTTACTGAAGTACTGTGTAGTGCGTACCAATCATATTTTTGTAAACATGTATGTTTTGTACTCACAGATTACATTTAAATGAAGCGATGATCATTGCAGTGGTGATTGCAATTAATGCAATTGCATCTTAACCCGAAAAAATTTCATGACTTTATTGGGATTTCAACCCATGGCCTCTGGGTTAGTGTGGCAGTGCTCTGCCAACTGAGCTATGAAGACCCATACATTGGGAGCAGGCCAATTTGTTGAGTTCATCTTAACTGGTGAAAGGAATGAAACATCAGATGAAGATGATGTGAACTGTGGAAATACAAATTTTAAAATGAAGATACGATTGTTGCAGTGGTAATTGCAATTTAAGCAATTGCAAATTAACCCAAACATCAATGGGATTCAAACCCATGGCCTTTTTCTTTGGTTAGTTTGCAATTGCTTTAATTGCAATTACTGCTGCAATGATCATATCTTTATTTAAAAATTTGTATTTCCACAGTTCACATTATCTTCATTCTCTACATTACGTTTACTTATATGGATGGATGGGGTGCATGGAAAAGAGCTCTTAAGGACACTTAATCTTTTTTTAATTTTTCTTTTGTAAAACAAACATCTAGTAGTTTGTGACAAGTCATTAAAGGCTTTTTTGGATACATGTACCGGTACATTTACGTGGTATTAATGGCTTGGCTAAGGTATGTACTTAATTTTAATCCATATTTTTGCTAGGATAAAACAAGCGCAACGAAGCAAGCGAGGATTTAAGTTCCATGAAAAGGGAAAGTTTCAACAAATGGCTCAAAGGATCAGAGCTAAGGTATGGTGTCCATGTACAGTATTGTCTCAATAGCAATTCAACAACATTTCCATTTATTGTAGTAATTAATTGTCAATTTTTGATGATATGATAATTTTTATTACAAAATCAAACATTCAGTTTTTGTCCTATATGAAATGCATTATTTAAATAGTCAGATCAAGTTGTGTGAAGCAACTTCTGTAATCTCAGATACATTTTTTTTCCAGCCTAATCTGATTTCTATTGTTAAAGTGGTAATTTTAATATTTTATCTTTTCAGAATGCGAAATCCTGTTTTTTAATTTGCTGGTGTCCTTGCTAATTATCAGCTCGTGGAAAAAACTGTCATACATGTACACTTACTTTCATAAATTCTGCAGTCTAATTGGCTAACATGCTCACTATCCGTTTTAGTGAGTAGTGAGCTAGTATTTTGATAAAAAAACAAAACAGTGGCAACTTTTTCAAGATTGAGATTGAAGTAGATATAATGCATAAATGCGATCTAAGAAGAAACAGAAGCAGCCACAAAAATATGGTATGAAGATATTGAGGGTGAGAGTTAAAAATTTAGTTTTTTTCTGTGTGACAAACAAAAAGGGTTGTATAGAATTGATGGTACAGTAGTACAGTAGTATGGAAAATAGGCTTGTACTAAAACAATAAGAATGCTCATTCTTGTTTCCTAAGACTCAAATTCATGTACAGCTGTAGTCAACTTGGGGCTACGTGTACGTGGCTTGTGAAGTATGGACTCATAGAAAGCTTAAACTCACAGTGTAATTGTAAGCAAACACTAAGAAGGACAAGGGTCTTTTTATGCTGAAAGATACTTGATAAAAATCACCCAAAAATGCCAAATGCCCATAAAAAATGAGCAAAAATTCTAGCAAATTTGTAAAAAAAAATGAAGAAGGCGTATTACCAACATTGATACTAGTAACTTGATGATGTGACTGGCCATAGAAGTCTTAAGTTCACCTTCTCATTGCTAATAATATTTAATACCTTTGCATTTTAGACCCAGTTAGATAAGCTTCAAAAAGAGATCGCAGCAGCCGCAAAGAAAACAGGTATTTCATCAGCAACTAAACTTGCACTGATCACACCAAAAGAAGCTCAAGAAGATTTTGTTCCAGACATTGAATGGTGGGATGCCAATATCCTGCCCAGTGGTAAATACATGAATAACTTACAGACTGACAGCATAGAGGCCTATATCAGTGGAGTGACAGCATTGGTTGAACATCCTGTACAGAAACATCCGCCTGGTAATTACATTAATTTATATGACTCGCTGGTCTTTTTTTTAGTGTAGACTGACACCAATTTTCTAATATTGTAGTACACTGGAAAAAAATTTCTTTTTGCCTTCATTCTAAACTGTGACAAAACCTTCAGTTAAAATACAATTAAAAATTACTATTAACAAATTAAGACTTTAATTTTGTGCAGCCTACCTACACTTGATACAGGTCTATTTCTGAAATTATTTTTTGTGGAGCAGAAAACTCTGCAAATTTCCTCCCGTTCTTGATAAATGTGCATCTACTTTTTATTTTGTAGACTTACACTGTGATGGTTAAACACCTCCAGTCTGTCCTGTAACTTTAAATTTCCTTTGTTTTCTCATGTGTTTTCTCCCTACATGAAGCTGAACCCAAAGAGGCACCTTCAGTTCCTATCATGTTAACAAAAAAAGAAAGAAAAAAGATTCGCACTCAGCGACGGAGAGAGATAGAAAAGGAGAAGCAAGAAAAAATCAGGCTTGGTCTTGAGCCACCACCACCACCTAAAGGTGAGAGAAATCTCCCCTCACCACTTCAGATTACTGTCAGTGTTACGTACATTGTAGAAATCAGAAACAGTGGCAGCATACTGGAGAGAGCGTTTGCCTCCCACCATTGTGCACTGAGTTCAAGTCCTGGTGTCAATGCCTGAAGTGGATGTTGATTCTCTTCTCTGCTGCGAGAATTTTGTCCTTGAGTTTCCCTAAAAAACCAGCATTTCCAAATTATAGCTCCACCTGGAAAGTGTCTTCAAACAGTGGGGGATACTTCAAGAGCAATACATGTGGGTTTATCACTTCTTGAAACCTTTCAAGTGTCACCACTCTCTAATAAAGTTACATTGTAGTTTGGTGGATAAACTGCAGCAAGCTCTCTGTCCAAACTGAAACCATCAACCAGCTTAGCCTTTAAAAAAAAAATGCTCTTCTTCTTATCACAGCATACCGTGCGAGGCCGCTAATCACAGTATTGTCAGTATTATTTTTCTTTCTTTTTTTTGTCTTTTAGTGAAAATCTCCAATTTAATGAGAGTACTGGGGAACGAAGCGGTGCAAGACCCAACTAAAGTAGAAGCTCATGTGAGGGCACAAATGGCACAAAGACAAAAGTAAGTGATATGTGAGAAGACTGCAGGTAATTATTGAACAAACCGGTTGACAGAAGAAGGGGTCAATCATGAGCAATAACTTCTTGCTGAATGTCGTGGATATTGAAATGCGTGCAAAATTCAGTTGCTAAATTCCTGCTTGGTTTTATTATATGATTACACAAGTGGAAAGCAACGTCCTTGAACCTTTTGAGTGGTGGTCGATGCATCCACTCTTAGGAGAGAAATTGGCCCGTGGCAAACCTTCCTCTGTAATTGGCCGTCTACAATGGAATCGAATAGAAACATTGCTTGACTAAGCATATGCATGTAAGGTGTCTAGGCGTCTAGGTTTTGTCATCATCGTCCACCAAAACCCAGAAAATAATTGCTTAGGTGACATTGAGCTCACGCTTGCCACACATGTTAAATATTACTGACGTCTGAAGGCGTTTATCACTTAACATTTTCCGGGGGGTGTATTTTACAGGGCTCATGAAGCTGCTAATGCTGCCAGAAAACTAACTCCTGAAGCTCGCCGTGAGAAGACAATCCGTAAACTGAAGGAGGACACTTCCCTTGGTGTACATGTAGCAGTGTTCAGAGTAAAAGAACTAAAAAACCCTCAGAAAAAATATAAAGTGGATATCAATGCACAGCAGCTTTACTTAACAGGTACATGCGCTGTTAGTGTAGTGTAACGAAGTTCAGACATGCCAGTAATAACCATCCCCACCTCTGTCTTCTATCAACATCGCGGTTTTCAAGTGGTAAAGTTTTGTTTCTTATAATGGCAACAATCAAGGTTTTTTGAGGCCGGAGTCCCGTTGTTTTTAATACGTGTACATGTAGAAATGTCCGAACACTATATTCAGTTTTTTTGTGTGTGTTTATTTGACTTCTTCTTCACATCAGTGTTCAAAACACACAAACTTATTTCTTGAGAATTAAAAGAATGACTAATTACTTTCCTCACGCAGGAGCTCGAATGAAATAATTATTCTACACCACGGATGTACCATAGGATTTACCCTCCTTATTCGTTTTGAAAACTGAGAGCGGACAGCGCAATGAGTTGCGCTCTCAGAAATGACAAAAACAGACCGTCACTTTGCGGACAGTTTATCGCTGGACCTCACGAAAGCACTGCCCCTTGATCCGGTACTCTTTTTATGAATTAATTTTTAATTTGAAATGCCTTTTTCCCGTAAAGGTTGTGCTGTTCTATACAAAGATGTTAATATTGTGGTAGTGGAAGGAGGCCCAAAGTCAGTCAAGAAATTCAAGCGTTTAATGTTGCATCGGATCAAATGGGAAGATGAAAAAGATTCTGATGATGATGACGAGGAGGATGAGGCTGCTGCCAGCAAAAAGACAGCGCCATGTGTGTTAGTTTGGGAGGTAAATGAAAATTATAATGGGTGAAATTTTGACACCACTGATCAGTTTTCTACTATCTCTTAAAGACTTCTTTTGCAATGTTGTGGCAACTGGACAAGGAATTCGATTTGTACAGAAAATTATACATCACGACTTGCCATGAATCTTCTATGAAGCCCCCTCCCTCTAAACCCCCCCCTCCCCTTTTCTGGTTAAGAAAGTTTATTCGACCCCATCTCTTTAAGAAAAGTTCATTAGCAGAAACGGATGTTTATAAAATTAAAACTCATGCTGTTGTTGTTTTTGCTACATGTATGTCGTATTAATTTCTTACTATAAATATGTACTGTCGTTATGCCGGTCAAGACTGTTAATCTGCACTTTGCACTGCCTCAAACAATGAGCCTGGCTTTCATCTTCACAGCATCAAGTGTGTTAAAGCACAAAAGTCAGCGCTCCCTTTTTATTCCTTCGTCTTTTAATCTGGATGGACCTTGTGATTGTTGATAATAGCCAAAAAGGACGTTCTTAAATTCCACAGGGCACCAACCAAGAAAGGAACTTTAGCGACTGGAAATTTAAATTGTGTCCAATGCAATCGATTGCAAGAGAACATCTCAAGAAATACGGAGTAGAACACTACTGGGATCTGGCTCTTAGCGAATCACTGCTTGAAAATGCTGATGATTGATAAAGTCACAAGCTTGTTACATCTGGGAGTCAAGAGCCATGCATCAGTGAAACTGTAGCGTGATCGATCATAAAAATGGTCGTACATATATGGGCTCGATTTTTGCCGCTTACTGGAGTCCTGCCTTCATGTCTCCCGAAAGACCAAGTCTACGTTATGTGGACGCGGTAGTCTTCTTCAATACTGCAGCAAGACTGCTGAATTTCAAATCCGCGCTTTCCGGTACAATTGTTTGCTAGTAAGATTTTATGGAAAGTTGTGTTTCTAATTATAATAAATCATTTTAGGCTGCGTTACTCTGTACTACTGTTCTGTGATTACTATTCAATCGTCAAACCTGTAAAAACATAAATAGCCCCTCGTACTTAACTGACGTTTACAATAAAACTTAAAACATAGTGCTCATGGTGCTCGTTTTTTCGAGACAAGCAAAAAATGGGGACAACTGCAATGTATCTCTAATCCCGTTTAATATTTTTTGCTTAAAAGAGCGTTTGTTACAAAGCTAGTGGTTTCTAATTTTTCTGTACCAATTTAACAGTACGTTGATAACAAACCAAATGTTTGAGATCCTCCTTACGGGGAAAATTTCTTGAGATAAATCGCTTTTCAAGACTGGTCGTTCATGGCCAAGGTGGCTGTATGGGAATCAGAAAGCGAATATGCACAATTAAACTCAATATAGTTCAAGAGCTTTAATTAAGCGGCAATTAAGGAGGTGAAAGTTTACTATACATGTGTTTGTGAACGCGAACCAACGCAATCGAGCTTGTTTCTACATATATATGTATCCTCAGGGTGCATAATGCATCAACTGGTAAACTGGTATACGTATCCTCGCTGTACGCGCAAGTGGAATTCCTTCCTGCAGTCTTTTTTACGTCGAATAATAATCAACCAATAGCACTCGCGTATTATGGTTTATCGTGTGTGTGTGTGTTTGTGTGGAAGGGGGGGGGGGGTGTATGGCGAGCGAGCGAGCCTCAGTATCCCCTAAGTGGATTGATTTTGAAGTCAGAATAAATTGACAGAGTAGAAAGTGCGATAACAACCCCTGAAAATCCAAGTTCTCGCGCGCCCGTCTGAAAACGCCTGCCTGCAAGCTAAATTCCAATGAGCGTTTGTCGTTATTTCTTAACTTGTGGTCGCTTAATTTGCCAAAATCAACAATCAAACAAGAGCTTAAGGGCTCAGACTCAGGATCGCTGTCACGAAAGTCATCAAAGCAAGATGTCCTGTAAATGATGCTTTTGATAAAAACACATCCGAGCTCGAAGATGCAGGAGGCTTCTTTTCGTAGTAGTCATAGGAACAATCTTTAAGCGGTTGGTGTGATACGCTGGTATGTTGCAGTTTGCAGAGTCCAAGAGATTTTATGTGAAGAGTATTCACAAATGTTCCACTGCTGTTGTACCCCAGTCCATATTCAAACGATTTGCAACTGCAAAAAATGGATATATTATAGGTTAACTGTCAGTTCTTAATGAAACGGAGCTCAGCCAGTATCTAACAAAATTACTTTTATTTTATCGTGAATCAGATGGGAAATGCATTTAGCCCAGGCTAAAAAGCTAATATTTTAAATGTCAAACTTTTAAAAAGACGTTACGGTCTACTGGTTCTTTTAAACGCGGTCTAAGATGAGACTTAGGTCTGAGTCTGGCAAACGTTATGCAGATGGGAAAGCCCTTGCCAAGCAAATACCACGCTTTGCGTTTTATGCTTATCATAGGGCTGCCAAGAGAGAATGGGGCTGCTCATTTCTATATTTCATTTCTTTGATGCAGAAAATATGATTCATGAAACAAAAAATAAGAAAGATGACATGATAATAGCATGGTCCCCGTCACTCATTTTTAACAAATGTCTATCCTTGCCTTCAATATTTCATCTAGCCTGAGAAAACAGCCGACATTTGGCGACGCTACCACTGGTTTCCCCGCCAAATGACGACTGAGAAACGAGCGCAGGAATTCCATACTGATGACGCGTCATTGACATAAATTTCCCACGCGGCTGTTTTCTCATGCTAGATTTCATCCCTTTTATCTCGTACCCTGATCCCTCAACCTCCTTGTCCAGCGGGAGGTCCCTGGCGGTATTTGAGAAGGTGAATATCCTTTGGGGAACTTTTAGGTAAAATCAAATTAATCACTGCACAATTTCAGTTCACTGCATTGTTTTTACCTTGAAATAGCTCTGCACTCTTTAACACAAAATTCCAGGCTGACATTGCTGTAAAGTGAGGAGTTGCCCTCTCTTCCCGCGTCAAGACATTTTTTCCCCTTCATATAAAACCCTTCGGGAACTGAAAATAGCACTTAATTAAGTCACTTCCACTGAGAACCTCGTTTCCAGATTATTTTCTATTAAACCAGGTCATCCTCGTAGTTGACAGAAGGGAGAGCCTGGTAACGATGTTGTTATATTGAGGTATTAGAGCTTACAATCTCTTGTTCAGTTTCTTTGGCCAACTTTGATTCATTTGTTTTTTTCTGTGTCATTTTGCTACTATTGATATACGTTTTATTGCAATGGTTACTTTGAAAATTACTGTGTACTCCTGTGACCATAATAGTGTTTCTGTTCATCTGCTATTCTATAGGCCCGGCCAATACGCCACTTCCACATTTCCCATAATGCACTTTATTTGCCCCCTCCCCTCCCCCGCCAAAAATATGTTGCATAACCTTTGTTTTTCATTTCTCCTGGGTATTACAGCCGTCCCAAGAGAAATTGAAAACAATGCTTATGCAAAATTTGAGGAGCAAATAAGGTGCATTATGGGAAATGTGAAAGTGGCGTATTGTAATTTTTCGAGACTGTTTATTCTCCTCTCTTTCATTTCCTGATCATTTTAGGATCCTCTGAGTTTTTTTATATCGCTCTTAATAAGAACATTGAGGAAGACTTCATTTCTTCGTTCATACCCATACCCACGTAAAATTTACGCAACAATAAAAATCTACTTTTAGTGTGGGTTTCAACTGCAGAGGCGGATCTAGGGGGAGGGTCCAGGGGGTGCGCACCCCCCCCCCCCCCCGAGATGACCTGCGGTTTTCTAATACAACTGGTATTCTGCCAAAAAAAACTATGTGATTTATTGGAAGAGACGAGTGCACCCCCTCCTAAAAAAAATCCTGGATCCGCCCCTGAACTGTGTTTTTACGTGCGCATGAACGTAAAATTTACGAGCGTGAATACAAAAGAGAAAATGCATGAAAGCCGCGAGTGAACTTTTACGTTTACAAACGAACTCCCATGCATTGCCTCCATCTATTTTACTTACACGCTTAAAATTTACATGCGTACGCAAGCAAAAATTCTCTTACCGAGGTCCTGTAAGAACAAGACACCGTGCCCAAAAGAAACGACGGTGAATTTGAGCATCTTTGCAGCATTTCATACGACTTATCTCAAGTCAGGGCGTCCGTTCACCTTTAACGATTACGACCCCGAAGAACGAAACAGCAAGGTTGCTCTTTGAGGGTTGCTCTACCATACTCCAAGATAGGCATGCGCACAGCCATTTCATCTTGGCAGTGAAAAGTGAAAAAGCCAACTGTTAACGTTTGTTGCATTCTAGTTTTTACGACAAGATTGCCAAAGAATGCCTTTAGTTTAAATATTACTTCTTTTAGCGGGATAACTTTCAGTTCATCTATTAAGTTCAGTAAAAACTTACTCTCACAGCTCGGTCCTTCCCAGTCCTCTTCGCATAGACATTTGTAAGAGCCGCCATACAAGTGACATTTTCCATTGTATTTACAGGGACTAGACCCACATTCGTCAGCGTCTAACAAAAGTTGGAAACAAGAGAAATGAAAAATATAAGGCAATAAAATCGGAGGCTTATCACTTCAAAGTTAAAAAGATACAGAAATCCACTCTTGATTTGAAAGAAGAAGTACTCACAGGTTTCCACGGTAGTCAAAGTAGAACGCTGTCCTTCTCTGTTAGATGTAGACGCCGTTACCCAGATTTTATATGTTGTTTTTGCAGACAGCCGCGTTAGAATTCCTTTCCCAGCGTTTCTAAACACCCTTTTCATCTCTTGCTCCTTGTGATATTAAGAATTGAAAGAAAGAAACAGGAATAGGATGAGCATCATTGTTTCGGGTTTACTGACTGATCTGTGGTAGACTCGAGGCGCAAAGCATAGAATAAGCCATCTATGTTCGAGTCTCTGTTGATTTTGAAACCGATGCCTTGTAAATTCGCAAAGTTTTGTAGTATAAACAATTTGTCCAACTTATCCGGATACTTTGCCGCTTGCAGTAAAACCAAAATAGAACTGTCACTTTCATGAATATAGGGTGCCTAGCAACGACGACGGCGAGGGTAACGAAAACGTCCCTAGCTATCAAAATGCCGAATGCGCGTTTTTTTTGTTAACTTTTTCGCGTTTATCGCCGACAGTTCTCGTAAAATGGTAAATATAGGCCAACTTCCCTTCGGATGTCCTGGGGACCGCACCCAAGTTCGGACTCAGAAGAAGAAATTGAATTTGCCCCTGTGTTTACGTCCTCCAAACAACGGCGCAAAAGGGAATTTACGGTCGTGTTCGTACAGGTTGTAAAGAAAAGCGCACTGGACCTGCAAAATTTGTTGTTTTTCATTTACTTATTGGGCTTATTGCCGTCGCCGTCACCGTCGCCTTTGTCATTGCTCCCAGGATTTATCGATGTGTGTAAACCGTTAGGAATCCGAGCACGTTTTTAGTAAAAACGCCTGCCATATTTTCCCTAAATATATATGTTATTCAAGATTCGGTCCATTATGAATTACTTCGTTTCTCTGGAAAGCGACATTTGGGTGGAGAGGAAAAAAAAATCGGGATGGTTGTTTTAGAAAAAAATATATATTTCTAAGAAGCAACCAGAGTTGAATGAATTGAGGCAAACTGTGCTCTTAAAATAATTATCTTTAGATATTTTGCTTTCTTTTTAGAATTAACTTTTCATTTTTTATTGTCTATTCATTTTATATCTTTTTTGTACACGGCTTTTTTTAGGTACGCACGAGCGTACCATGTGTACAGGTAGCTACGCCCCTGCTCTCCTCACTTTTCGCAAGTGATTTGCCACAAAATTCATTCCCCCGAGTTTTCCTTAATTAATAAATGGGAGCTTAATCCACAGCGTTGAGAGAGCATGTCAACCAGATGTGGAATTTTTGCATCCGTTGGCAGTGGTTTGGTTCAAACTCTCGGGCGAATGGTTTTTAAAAGAGAAAGGACACTCAGCAATATGAATACAAATTTGTTAGAGTCACGGAACGTGCGTCAAGGCATATAAAAAGGGGGAAGGCCTCACTTCCGATGGACGTGCGTCGCTCAAAAATGTCTTTGCTGAGGCTCCCTGACGTTGAAGAACGAGAATTTCTCTTGTTTGAAGATATTCAATGTCCACTTAACACAGGGTTGGAAGCAAAATGTGGATAACAGTTTATTCTTTTTTTTCTGCGTCCTCTGTTCTGGGCCTCGCTGTGAATTTTCATATTAATACATTTACATCCAAAAGGTCTCTACAAGAAAAGGAATCCCTCCCCACATCTACAAGAGAAAAATCCTGGTAACGAGTTTAGTGTCTTCACAGCGCATGTTCAGCCTCCTTCTCTACCCTTAAAACTAAGCAAACTGATAACAACTATAAACATATACTTGCAGACAACATACGTTTTCTTTTTTGTAAAGTACAGAGTACAGTACTATCGTTCCCCTGGTTTGATTTGGTGCAGTCCAGCTGACCTCGACAGTATTTGATGACAATGGACGTGCGTGAACATTCCTCACAGGACTCGGTGCTACCATGAAAAAAAAAAAGACAACGTAAACTCATCCTCACGCTAGCTAAACAAAACAGGAGGCAAGTCCCAGTTGAGTGTAGGGGATTCTATTTGTAGCTCTTGCTCTTAGTTTCAATTGCAACTTACCTCCTGGAGGAATGGTATAATTTGTCCATTCACTACGCTGTGGACATTCGTCTGGGTTTAAATCCTTACACGCTTCCACTCTCACACTAACTAGCTGCTCGTAATCAAGTTCTATACTGTTGGACACCGTATAATGGCTGTTGAGTGTAATACAAGACACGTCTGGTGTATTGAGGTTTGACACGCAGTAACTACATGTTGTATTGTCAGGTAAACAGTACACGGGCGTAGGACCAGCCTCATCCGGTGGATTAGCGAACAAAATTCTGTAGAATGGGACATCCCTTTGGTTGTTCCATGATATAATCAAAAAATCCGATCCGTTTACTGCCTTAATATTCACCCCTGATGGAGGCTGGAGACCTGCAAAAGACAGTAATGAATGAAATCGTGAACAAAATCTCTACTAAAAATAACCTCTGTAAGGTAGCTTTTTCAGAATATTAATTTATAATATAATAATTGATGGGGCCGGGCTAATATAACTAAATAAATAAGGGATAATAATAATGGTGTTTTATTTTACAGAACCTCAGTAAACCCAGCTAAACCCTGGTTACTCGGTCTTGCGGCTACTCTACTGCCACTCGCGTGTTAAGCATGCCACTTTAGGAAAAAATAAGAAACTACTCGCAGTCGTCAACGTTCGTAAATATTTTTTCAATAACACTAAAGTTTGTACGAGACATTTTTTCAGCCAGTAGCTAAGCAGGAAACGGTGGAAGAATATGGTATGAAGATCAATGTTAAGACGCCCGCTAAGGTGCATGATAAAAATAAGTAAGAGTCCTGGTGAGGAATTCACGATCTTTTCTTGCGGGTAAACAATTAATTAAGTCAAGAATGGCACTTTAACTACCTTGAGAGCCTCATTACACAGGACGCCGGATCCTGTGAAGAAGAAATTAGATAGAGTATAGCCCGAACAAAGAACGTGTTTACTAAGAGAAAGACCTGCTGACAAAAGCATTGGCTTTGCCTGAAGAAGAGAATTATTAAGAATGTCATCTGGAGTACTCTTCTGTATAGAGCCGAATCATGGAGCTTGAAGAAAGAGGACACGTGCGTAAACTGGATAGCAGTGAGATGTGGCTTTAGAGAGCCATATATCATGTCTGTTATCAACAGAACTTAGAGGGCAAAATGTTTAAACGAAGTCTATAACTTATTATTGGTTTGACGGATCATTGAACGTCCAGATCTCTTCTTTTGTGGGTTGTTTTAAGAATATTAATGCTTTTCTAGTGTTCTTTACCTGCTTTCATAAAACTGGTCACAATAAATGAAGTTCAGATAAAATCGTTGGGGTAAATTGACAATGACTTAGAACACTGGCTAAACCACGTTTAAATATTTGGCCCAGAGAGTCTGGTTTGGTCATAACCTACGGCATGGTGATCTTGTCCCATTATTTATTGAGGGAAGAATAATAGGAAAGAGTCCACTTGGAAGACCTCGAGTGGGAATGCTGCATGGATAGAGTAAAGAATGGCAGCCCTCACTTACGTAGCAGTCAACAGGTTCGCCTTAGATCGAGAACTATAAGGAAGGACCTGCCTGTGGGCAGAATACACACACAGCTATATAAAATTAAAAATTCTTATATTTGCCTTGTGTCACGGTGACTACGTCTACGGTATGTTACATGGTTTGCGGATTCCTAAGTAATAAAAAAGACCGAAGACGAGGATAAAACCCATTAAGATCTCATTTTTACAACGAAAAAATGCAGTAAACTCAGAAACGTAAAAACTATCATCCTTACAATATCAATGTAGTAATTAAATTAAACCACAAAATACATTCATTTCATTATTTCTAATTACTATACAGTGTTTATCATAAATAATTACTGAATGAGGCTGATTATGATATGAATGATTATGCAGATCGAGAAAGGTGTTATCTGTTTGTAGCCATGACAGAACTGACATTAGGACAAACCGATAGTCGCTCATTTTTCCTTTCACAGTATATGCCTAAAGCAGCGATACTCTTATTTGCTCAGTCGAAAGAAAACTAGAAAAATACATTGCGTGAGAAGTAAGAAATTTAGATGATTGTCTCTTCCAAATTAAAATAACCCATTGAAACAAATTCTGTTTTAAAACATTTTTGCGTCCTACGTTTGTGTTTCAGGGAAGAAAGGTATTTAAATTTTCTAACCGAAATAATATTTATGAACAACTCTTAAAGCAATAATAATGCGCTGGGATTCTGTTGTAGACACTGAGTATGCAGCTGTTCTTTGGCGTGTTCTGATCTATCAAATAATTGAAGCACCTGTTGTTTGGGTTTGTAAGTCACGCTAATGAAGCTTTCTGAAATATGTTGATACGCGTCACTTAAATTAAAAATCCAATTTTCGATGTACAACCCCTGCTTTTCTCATCTAGTGTACGCTCACAGCCTTCAAACAATTCTAACAACGTAAACGGGAGAGGTTTGATCAATAAAGATTGCTGTGATATCCGTTCTTGTATCGTCAAGACGTGGAAGTGGAATTCTGGTTTTATTGTCAACCAAAAATTTTAATTTATAATCAACACATCTTTTAAACTGTACAATACAACGCAAAAGGCAAAACATTTTTAGAATTGTCCTTCGGTTCTATGATGGCTGACGACCAGAAAAACTAGTGTGCTCGCAATTTTCAGCGTTTCAACTCAATCGTGTACTCGCCTGGATGTTTCCACCCGTACATGCGTTCTCAGGCAAAGATTTTTCTTGAGTGCTCTTATCTGGGGCAGGTCATTATTGGAAGAATAAAATAAAATTATCGTTCTCCTTATTTAATTTGGTAATAAGTGTATAATCACACTGCTAAAAGAGTAATGCATCTTACGCTTCGTTAAAAAAGTGTCCCAGCTTGGTCTTATTTTCAGCAATTAACCTTGGCCTGGGTTTTTTTTCACTTTTCAATGCAAACGCTTTAAATTGAAGATTTTACCGGTAGTCACCAGTAGTTACCTGTCTAATTTCAGGGATGACAAGAAAATCACGGCTGATCCTAAATTTCCCTAAAAAGTGCCTTTTAACATGCTCATGTTACACTGAAGTAACACTTTATTCCCCAATAAAACTCCACTTATCTAAATTATCCTGATTATATAAACCAAAGTGTTGAACTCTGTACGTTGTCAGTGAATGTGTGATCTGCCTGAATATTCATGATAATGGGCCTAAGGTCTAAAATTCTGATCGAATATTAGCAATTTTCAAGAATCTAAACATCGCATATTCATCAAGAAAATCAATACACCACTGAATTTTAATTTTGTGTCGTTTTCTCCATTTCATGGACTTCGGGTTTTCCTATACATTAATATCGTAACGGCCTTTCGCTGTAGTTCACCCAACAAAAATTTTGAGGAACACGTTAAATTGAAATCTGGTACAAAATTTAATTTCCGTCTCTCTTATGTCGTCAATTTAGTATCTTTTAATAATATACAGTAAATATTTCAAAGTTTATTTTAAAATACTGAACAGGGTAAACTTAAACTATTACTACGCCGAGTGAAAATGTTGTCGGACGCACGAAGAAACGTTTTTCAAAGCATGGAAATTTTGACTTATAATATAAAACAAAGAAACGCTTATTACCCATTGCCTTTTTTATTAAGATTTTGTGGTATTATTTAGAGCGTTAATGACAAAATAGACGGGAATATCATCTGATGAAAGATAACACAAGATTACTGCACATGTAAGTGGCGTGGTCACCTTATGGTAAAGAAGAATCTCTATTACGAAAATGACTATGACATTTTTAAGCTTTAAAGATGGTTTTCTTATATACTTCTTAATGAAGAAATATGAGTGAAGGTTTTATCGGAAAATAAATAGCCATCACTATTGTGCCAACAAAAGAACAACTGCGCGTGTTCTAACAGTGAAACATTACAAAGGGAATGAAGGTCGTTCTACTATTGAATCCAAAATTGAAAATCGAAAATTAAAAACTTACCCGAGGTTTTCACTGGAAACCATAACATCACAGCACTGAGTAAAACTTCTACGGTATAGAAAAGAAGCCGGTTCGCCATGATTTTATTGGTCCAAATTACGAAGAAATTATAGTGATATGCAAATTTTTAGCAATAATGAATCAAACAATGTCAATGTTTTGCCTGTCAAAAGATTCACGTGGTTACAGTGAGAAGCTGGGACACCCAATCGAAAGCAGTTGGTATAAGTTATTACCACAAGATTCGATCAGTTTTTATGAGTACGATATTATCATGTTACTACATCAAATTTTTCGTTGTCCTCGCGCCACTTCGTTCATCAGATGTGAACGATCGAGTCCTTCAGATAAGAGTGAATAAATTTGCAAACATGTAAAAACGAGTAAGGCAGAGCCTAAATAAACGCGCGTCAAAGGAACATCTCCGCTATTTTTTTAGACCAAAGTTTTCTTTCTTCTTGAAGTCTCTAATTCCCGGTGGCGCACTAGTTATTGCACGTAATATAGCAGGGGCACCCAACGAGGATATAGTTCAAAACCACCTAACATAGCATTGTTGAACGTATTTTAGTATTTAAATGGTAGATATAGGCATATTTTTATCCCCTAAAAACTTTTCATCTGTTCGGATTTCCTAGCTGAAAGTCTAGTGATCCGAAAATTATAGGGATCAAAACCTACCTTTTCGAAAATTTCAGCCGGGAAAAGGCTCCCGAAAATTCTAGGTGGCCTTTTTTAGGGTAAATATCCGTTGAAAATGGGTAATTATAGCATTTTGTAGATGTTCGAAAATCCTAGGAGAGGCAGGCAAGCAAGAAATTTTACAACAAATGTTCCGAAAATTCTAGTTCTCAAATCGTCTTCCGAACAGATATTTTCCCGAAAATTGCCGTCGGGTGCCCCTGATATAGGAATCGTGTTAGGCTGCTAATCACCAACGTGTTCAAGATCTGACCAAAAATGGATAGAATCAGCTACTAGGAAGATAACGATTTGGGAGTGCTGTCAAGAGTAATCTGAATAACACTTTTGCATTTTACGAAAATATGAACTTTCTTGGTGCTTAATAATTTTTCTCTAATTCTCAGACTTCACCAGGAAGGACACATGACTGTGTAAAGGACCAAGAAAATGCTTAGCAACTCCAAAATTTTAGATTCGGCAACTGAGCTGATAACTTTTCCAACACAAAGAGATTTAGTTTACCTAAAGTTTTTTTCCAAATTCATGATTTATTTCCTTGTGACACCACCATAAAATCCGACACGCATTGGTATACAAAGAATTCACTTTAGATCAAAATCTCTGGACACTCGACCAAACTACTAAACTATACTAATATCTGATTAATAGTTTATATATCGCTTAAATATTAACTGATAACAAGAGAACATAAATGTTTTCTTGGTTTTCTAAAAGGTTTTAAAAGTACTAAAGCAAGTACAGTTCCTGATGTTTTGGCCTTTCCTACTGTTGATAGCGATTTACCTGTTGGAGGCTGCTAGTGAAAACATCAAAACTATCGTTTGAACGTATATTTTTGAATTGCAATCAGGCCACTAATACATTGTGAGACAAGGCCAAGGATAGCTTTAAAAGTAATAACAAGAGACTGGGATAAAATCTTAAAATAAACGGATTAATCCGCAACGGATTATGGCTGAACTTATTTAAATAAAAAAGATGGCTTAATGTCATCAATTTTTAGCTGGTCTAAGAATATTTTGCTTGTTGATAGGCGTATTAAGGAATGAGATGTAGAATAAACTGTCGCAGCCCGAGAATGAAGAAACAACGAGGTGTGTGCGGCGACAAAAACATCACCCATCTGGCTCACTAATTTTGTGAAATTGCGTTCTTTCAAATTTATTGCTATTGTTTCAACCCGCTCGAATATGTCAAATTTTGGCATATTTCAAGCGATTGGCCCATGCCCAAAAAGTTAACTCTAAACTCAAAAGCGCCATCATTTTCTCCTTCTTTATCAGATGTGCAATTAGGGGCCTAAATTATCACCTCAACTACCTACATTATTGCCCTTCATCAACCCAGTTGATGCTAACCAAGATTGGTAACACTCCCACCACCATCACAGAAAAGGCCTTTAGAAACTAACGCCCACTGTTATAGTGACCGACACTATGAAATAATCAGAAGCAGGCCAAGGGTGTTGCAAATAGCGCGTGGTTTTGTGATGGATTTCCCTTTGGCTATAATCGCGAGGAATTACAACCCAGCCCGGATGTCTTAAGTCTAAATATACTGGTTTAATAATGAAAGGAAATCAACTCTTTCCTATCCCGAGAATTCCCAGTAGTAGAACCCCTTGGTAGTAACAAGTCAAGACATGCCCTGCAAATAGACTCCTGAGGGGAAAAACTCTTCCGCTAGTCCAAATTTTCTTCCACTTTTCAGAGAGCCTGTTCACAATCTACTCGAGAGAAATCCGAACGCAGTAAAAATGGGTTTAAAATTTTACTTCCTTTCTCAGAACTAAACATTCATAACAACACAGTAAACAAGACAAAAGCGACTCTGGGTCCCTACCATGTCTGTTAGGGTGGATTTCCACTGAAGCGTTTTTGGTTACGTATGTCAGGGGCGGACGGAGGATTTGGTGATAGGGAGGGCCTAGAGATATAGTATACAGTGGCAATGTGGGCGCGATAGCGCCCATGAGAACTGCGAACGGCGCACTTTTGTAGGAAGTTTCGGGCGCATGCTCCTCCGGGAAAATTTTTGATATTGAAGTTCTCTGAGATGCAATCTAGTGCATCCTGGACGCTTAAATTTAGCAAATGCCTGGATTCCACATTGAACATGTAATGCTGATATATTTAATAACCCACAAAGGGTAGGCCGGGGACCCCTGGGCCAACCCCTAAATCCGCCCTTGCACGTTAACGAACATAAATTAATATGGCAATTAAAATAGAGGCAAGATAAGAAGTTGAGCGAGGTACAAATTTTACGCTTACAAGCGACCTTTCATGCATTGCCTCTATTTTATTTGCGAACGTAAATGTTACATACGTACGTGACGGTGGAAATCAACCCTAAGACATGCCAGGTTAGGAAACTTGAAAAAAAAAACATACACAAAGGAGTAAACTATGTCATTTATAAATATAACTGAAGTTCGGTTTATGAATATCTCATAAATAACAGCTAATGTACGAAAAGTTCAGAAGAACTTTAATTAAGTTTACTGTACACTGTCAGTTGCAGGACGGCTCAAAGAGATTTTTCCATTCATTGATTGCCTTTTTATTTTCACATTCAATACATATATGACATATTCTTAATAAGATGATATAACTTCATTTTTATATTTTTTGCTTCTTCTGTTAGTTTCTCGACATAATAAAACAGCCTCTCTAATCCTCATCCAAAAGCAGCGATGTTTTTGGAGATAAAACGTTTGACTTCCGCTTTGGTGCACAGGCTACCAACCTCTTAAACAAAAATCGGAGGATCTATTTCATCACTGTACTACAACTTGCAATGATAAAACAACTCGAGGCGATCTTATAACATTTGCAGTGATTTGACTTTTTTCTTGTATAATTTGAGAGAATACACCATTTTACAGTTGTGGGCTCAGTAGCCTAGCCTTTGAGTGAATGTGAGGCTGAGGTTGACTTCCTTAACATAAAAAACCTCCATTTTTATGAAAATTGTGCTTGAAAAATACTAGTTGGCATAATCTGGAACAACAAGATTTACACAATATAAGCAGGAAGGGTTGTATCAAAACAAGATCAGCTCCAGCCTCAGTTCCATCTATAGCTGTAAAATGGCCTCTTTTATGATAGCTAAAGTATTTTACAGTTTATTACAAGTATGCTGGTACTATCACTAAATTTAACTTGATGAAGTTCCTTGATTATCATCAGTCCCTGTTTCCATTTTCCGTTGCTTTATTTGTCTCTACAGCTGCTGAAGCCTCATCACTCACTCGTTCCTCCCCTAGGCACTCTTGTGGCCTACCATCAGGGCCCACCTGGGCTGTCCTTATCACACCCCTTCTGTTCAGGTCATGGATTAATGATACCAGTTTCTCGGCTTCTTCCTCTTTTTCTTGCTCACTCATTTCATCCAGAGGATTAGGTTTTCCATCATCTTTTGGAATTGCACCTGATAACGAGAAAAACATGAAGTGAGGCAGTGTTGTTGAATGGTTAGAGTGTCGGATTTGCAATCAGGTGGCCCAGTCTTCAAGTCCCGCACAGACCATTACCAGGATTTGTTCATGGTGGTCCTGAGTTCAAATCCTCCTTCTCCCTGCCATTAATTTGAATTTAAATTATTTCTTTCAGTCATTTGCCTGGTCCCACTAGTCTCTGTGCTATAAATATTGCCAATTAAGATGATAATGATGATGATAATGATGATGGCAATGGCTTGAATCTCAGTTTTCTTTATTACTATAAAGAGTGTGATGAAGATATAACAGGAATAAGAAGGTATTATTGTTATTATAATGTCATTTACTTGGTTCAGTCAAGTAAGAGCATCTTTGTTTTGGTTCAGTACCATCAGTACTTCCAAAGTACTCACCAATCATAGGATCAATCTCTGACTTGTCCATTGCATATTCTTCAGTCTCGGAATCTTCATCATCAGATGAGTAATTGCCTCCATTCCCTTGAGACTGAGCTGCTCCCATAAGGCCACGGGATGCCAGTAGTCCTGCAGCATTTCCATACCCAGTGTACTTAATGAGTCGATTGACATTCTCTTTACACAGAACAAACAGGAAGTCTGCAACTAGCTCCTGATAAAAAAGCCCAGAAGTACATGTATTTTTTTAAACCATTCCATTTACTATGTATTACAAACAATCCTCTGTGTTTCTGAATTTAACCCTATCCACTGATTCAAGGTTTTTCATGAAGAAATGTCTTCTCTACACAACAGGCATGAATGTACTGTAGCACTTTAATAACAAGTGGACACTCCTATTTCCTGTACAAGTAATAAACATTATTCTAAGCATGTTATCCCCTGAGTGTGGATTGCAATAAACCATATGGATTATTCCACACATTACATTAGACACTGAATGTTTACATATGTAAATTACCCCAGTGTACTTGATATCAAACAGCTTGTAACAAACCTTGATATCCTCCAAAGGTGATGTCATTAGGCGGACAAGCTCATTTCTTATCAAATGACCTTCTTCAGGTCGAGTTGTCCCCACATGTCCAAGAGGCGGTAAAACTTCTCTGCGCAGATACCTTCTTATTATCCTGTCTCCTCGAGCCAATTGACACAATGCGCTAAGGAGGGGAACGACTTTTTCTTGCAGTGGCCGGCCGTTTGACTTAAGACGATCATCAAGAAGTTTTAGCATGGTTTGAATTGCCAGCATGTTGAAGTTCTATGGGGTACATTGTAAAGAGAACAATTCGTGAGTGCTGAGATCTTAGAAAGGCAAATGCTAGAAAAAGGTAAGCAAGCTCAGGGCTGTCAAAAAGTTTTTAAGAAGCAGGCTGATAATGAGTAGTATGCGGCTTTGGAACTCGCACCAAAGGCAAAAGTTCTTGAGGGCCGAGGCATCTAGGGACATTTTGAAATTTAGAGTCTTGGAAATTGTTTTTCCAGGGGTTTTTCAGGAGGTAGTTTCCATGAGACTCGGAAGAATGATGTCGAAATGTACCAGGTGTTCCACAACATCGGATGATTCGAAAGTTTTACATTGCTCTAAACCTGTTTAAATATGTGTTCAATGTCATCGAAAACTGGGAAACGGATGCTTTACAATTTTATTCGATGGTGCTTACTTTTTGTTAGCAATATAGTAGAAGGAGATGAAAGAAGCCGGCTAAGGATGGCTAACTAGCCGGTGGTTTTGGCCAGCTACCGGCCGTTATTGACCACCCTGCAAGCAAGATTTACTTGTTTAACGGAAAAGCGTTAGTGTTCGAAATCCTGTGCTTGGTCACATATATCTAATATTCAGTTTAATAATAATGATAATAATAATAATAATAATAATAATAATAATAATAATAATAATAATAATAGTGATACATGTATGTCTTGATTAGATTGAGAAAACGCTTAAAAAATTCACCATTTTCATCAAGACCATAATACACCTTGTTTACTCCCCGAAATTTTGCGTAACGCTTGTCTATAATTTCTCTTGGTACATCTATACATAATATCCAGGAGAAATTGGAAACAATGATTTTGTAAAATTTTTGGCAGTAGACCAGGTGCATTATGGTCTCTGTGAAAATGGTAAATGTTAGGTTAGAAACAACAGTGTATGTAAATGTACAATCTCACCATAAAATTAATGTTAAAACTAAATTTTGTGCCCAAATTCAAACGAGCACAGTTACAAGACAGGTGTACCATGTAGTGACCCTTTAAAGGATCAAAATGATAACTATGTCTTTCTATTAACTGATTAAGATGCCAAACTTTTCATGCACTACAGTCATGTGTATGTTATAGCATGTATTACCTCAAACTGAAACCTAAACCTCTTTGATGAAGTTCTGCTATCAAAATCTTGTGCAAGACTTTTACAGACACTGGATGGCATAGTCCACAGCAGATATTTGAGGCAGCTACTTGGCATGTTGCTTACAATATTGATGGCATGATTTGGAAGGTTCTCTGACTGTTCAGGCAAGGGGTTAAGATGTACAAGGATTGAACGTACAATAAACACAATCCTCTCACAGTGTTCCATGGTATCTGTACTGTCAGGCTCTGGAAGATTTATTGTGATGTTAAACATTATTTTTAGGATTTCAGCAGATAAGCGAATTTCATCCCGTGAAGCAGTGTAGGTTATTGGGTTTTCTTCAATTGCAGCCCTGTAAAGAAGTTTTTATAAAGAAAAATGTAAGGATGTGAAGGTTATTTTTACTATAAATTTAAAAATGACTATTGCAAATACAAGTTTAACTATTAACAATTAACAGTCCTTTGCGAACTAATCAATTGAAAAATTATAGACGCAATATAAAAAAAGACATAACAACTTAACAACTGCACTTGCAACCTCAAAAACTCCAAATTAGAAGTCTGAAATCAAGACAATTCTAAAGGTCTGTTTTGCCAACAAAATGGCATTATAGAGATAGATAGATAGATGCTTTTTTTTAATGAGGGTTTCACTTGATATCCACAGATAATATATGCGTGGCCCTCAACCAAAAATTTAGCATAAAAAATGAAACAAAAATTAAGTAATGAATAAATAAACAAAATCGAGAAAGTCCTACTTACAAACAATAGTTTAATACAAAAATTATGGTCACGAAAGGTCATTTTAACATTTTATATACAGTCATTGATGCCAAAAAAATCACTATTGCTTTTATTATCATTTAAAGCTTTAGCTATGCCCAGATTATTCATAGTCTCCTTTAGCATTTTAATTCTTTTTTTTCCAATGGGCATTCCTGTCCACCAGGATTCCCCCCCTAGATATTAATATACAATTAAAGCTCTCGTAAGCGACCACCTCGGAAATTTGAAAAAAATGGTCGTAACTACTGTAGAGCTGGTCGCTGACCAGAGTTAACTCTCGTATTTAAAGCGACGTTAAGGTAAAACAATGGAGGGTGGTCGCTTAAGAGAGCTTCATATTGATGTCAGGCTCTGTGAGTAGTCATTGCCATACTGCACTGTATAAGATCTTTGTCAATGAACCATTAGCACAATGTGCAGGTTCCTTAAAGTGTTGATTTATATGAATAAGACTCTAGCAGTCGCTTACAAGAGCTTAAAAACAAAGGAAAAGTCAAGCTGGGTGATCCCAAAAGTGTTCATGGTCGCTTATGGGAGCGGAATCTTACGAGAGCTTTTCATTACAAGGTTTAGGTCACCAGTTCAAACCAGTTTTCATAAAGGTGGTCGTAACTAGAGCTGGTGCTTATGAGAGTGGTCACAAGGACAGCTTTGACTGTATTTTGTGAAACTACCCACTATGTGTTTGTAATGGTGCAAGACACATATCTACATAAATAAATCTACGGCAGTGTTATCTACTCTACATGTAATTTTTCTGTATACTGTAAGAACCTACTTCATTTGTCAGGCTGAATTGGTTCTTATTACAGAGTACACAGTTGCTCTATTAGCCAAATTTAAGCCTATAAGCAGACATTCTTAATCTGCAGTTTCTTTTACATGGGAGTTAACTGTATATCTACTTATCTGTTTAATTAAACTCAAATTGTACCTTTCTGCCACTGTCATCATGTACAGTTTGGCTCCAGTAAACTGTCCACAGCCATCTCTAACTTTCATTTCATGACAAATTTTTCTCTGCTCCTTTCCTGGAATACTGCTATCCAGTGCATGAGTGAGCACACAAAAGCCATTATTAGCAACAACTTCCATTCTTGCAGCGTTTTCGAGGGCGGTTAATAAGAAAAGAAGCCTCAAATCAAAATATTTTACGTCAGACACCAACAAACTATTGTCGAACCATTTCTTTACTCTGTCAAGAATAGCTTCAATGCATCGCAACTTGAAACAATGTTGCCGCGATACTGGGCTGTGGTAAACAACGTTACATAAGCATTTTAGCGCTTCTATGACCACATCGCTACTAGCAACAACTCTTGAGAGACCACCATCTTCTTTATCTTGCCCTGTATCACCTGTTCCGTTGCCAGAATCGTTCGAACACCACTTGCTCGAAGCTACAGTCTCTTCGGAAGGAAGAAGCTCAGCTAGTGATAGCAGAGTAAAGGTAGATTTTTCTGAAGACAGCGATCCTAGGCCATCTTTATCCCTGCTTAAAATTCGCAAGGCAGAGAGAGCGTGTGCTTTGAATTCAAGTTCCAAATTCTTAGCTGTCAACTTGCTGAGGATCACATCAATAAATTGTTTCCTGGAGCCGACATCTAGCTGGAAAAAGGTAAAAGTCTTCTCGTTCTCAACACAAAACTGTTGAAGAGCTTTTGTAGCAGATTTTTCATTTCGAGAGTCCGAATTCGACAAAACAGAAAGATAATTTTCCATCTATAAATCAGTCTGATACAAAAGCCTTCGACGACAGTCGGGTATGAAAAAAACTGAAAGAGGGGAGGCTGCTAAGTATTCGTGGTCCGGTTGCCAAGCGTAAAGATTACATGAAGTAGAAATCGGTAAAACCGACTTGCTTGGTAAGAATTTATTAGCTAGAAAACTGTAAATATGTCTGATACTTGGACAGAAATACAAGAACACAAGCGTCGACAAGAAAGCCTTCGCGATCGTCTTCAGCGGAGAAGGAAGGAACGCCAAGGAATAGGTGTGCAAGACAGCGAATTATCAGGTTGGTAAAAGTGTCAGTGATGTCTCTAGTCTCCCATCCGCCAAAGGGCAAATGACTCAGGATGGCGGAGGCCTTGATACATAGAGGGTTGTTAGCTGTCCAACCCTCATGTTAAAAATAATATTCAAGGGCTTTGTGGATGTCCGAAGCTGGATTCTGGTCAGGAGTGGGCTAATAACACTAGACATCCACGGATCAAGTACCTACCACATCCACAGGGCGCACAGAAACACTGAGGAACATTCAAGCACGTGCTGCCACAACAACTGTTATAGATTCTGATTCTTGCCATTTAGCATCGCAGAATGGAATTTCCATCTATACCCTCATAATTTCCAGAATGCTACATCTGTTGAATGCTTTATGAAAGTCCTCCCTTAGTTATGTGAATGACTTACACGTAATAATGCAAAAGACACGTTGACTATTAAATTGCCTGATGTTCCTGCGCACATATACCTC